CAGGAAAGCTTCAAAAAATTTTCGGGTGCCTGATACAACTTTAAGGGACACGGTTCTGCTAAAAGTTGACCCAGAAACTGCTGTTTTTGGTAAAACTCCAGTTCTAGACACCCTTGAAGAGGCCTATCTAGTCATTCATTTTAAAACAATGGCAGCTTTTCGTTATGGATATACTAGGCAGGAATGCATAAATATTGCAACAGATTACGCAGTTTTTGTGGGTAAGAGAACTTCTGACAAGCCCTTTTCTATGAAGTGGATGAGAGGTTTTTTAAAGCGATAGCCTGAATTAAAAGTTTTGAAGCCGCGAGGGTTAGAACATGTTAGAGCAAAAATGGCTTCCAGTGAAACTGTGTCCAACTACTTTGAAAATCTTCGTAACACTCTCTCCAAACATGATCTGTATGGAAAGCCTCATCTCATCTTTAATGTTGATGAAAAGGGTATTTCTGTTGACCACAAACCACCAGCTGTTGTCGGAGATTCAGCTTACTGTCCGCAGTCAGTAACATCGGGTCGTGGAAAGACTATCACCATTCTTGGAGGAGGCAGTGCAAGCGGTGTCTCTGTACCACCTTTTTTGTCTTCCCCGGCAAACGAATGACGCCAGAGCTCTTGAGTGGAGCATCCCCTGGGGCTAGTGGCACGGTGAGCGAAACTGGATGGTCAAATGGACAAATCTTCCGGCAGTATCTGGAACACCACTTCCTCAAGTTTGTTCCACGAGATGAAGGACAGATATTGCTCCTCTTAGATGGACACAAATCCCATGTGTCTGTGGATCTTGTAGAGTGGGCAAGTCAGAAGGGGATAATTATCTTTATACTTCCAGCCCATACAAGCCAATGGATTTTGCCAATGGATGTTGCCTGCTACGGCCCATTTCAAAACATTTACAATTGTTTGTGTCACAAGTCGATAAGGGAAACAGCAGCAACAATTACCAGGTATAACATTTGTGAAGTTGCATGCAAGGCGTACACGAAGGCGCTGTCTCCCGAAAACGTCCAGTCAGGATTTCGACGTACTGAAATTTACCCCCTTTGTAAAGACGCAGTTCTTTCGAGGTATTTGGTACCAGCAGAAGTCTTCAAGGGCCTGGCCGCTGAAAGCCAAGAGAATCAGAGAGGATTGGGAGAAAATGAAGATCAGCAAAATTATGTGGTAAAGTTACAAGAGAAGGAGAACCATCTGAAGGCAAAGAAGAGTGGAGGAGAAATTAAAGAGAGGAAAACTATGAGCAAGATCGTTTCAGGGAAGGAAATTTCAGAGAATGTGTGTCAGCGAATGAAAGACCATGAAAAAAGTCAGAAGAAAAAAGAGAAAGCCATTGGGGGTAAGAAGCACCAGAATACAAGTTTTAGAAAAACTGCACTTTTTGACGATTTACCTGGCCCATCAACAATAAATTTGACCATATCCGAGGATCTCCAAAACAATTCAGACACTGACAGTGACGTTGAGATGGATCCATCTAAACTGTGCTGTGTTTGCAAGAAGTTTCAGCCAGATGAGTTGAAGAGATGTGTTTCTCTTGTATTTGCGAAGTGGGCGCAATGTGACAAGTGCAGGCATTGGGTTCACTTGATCTATTGTTCGCCAATACGTGTTGTGAGAAGAAATGATCCATTCTTTTGTCCACACTGTAATACAGAGTAACACAATAATAGTGCTAGCTGTTGCTGCATAAATTTGTATTGAATTAGATAGTGTTAAATTCAGCTTAGTTATATAAGTTTTTATAATTGTTTAACTAAAAAATTCATTCTTTGTAAAGATTGTATTAATTTGTATTTAAAAAATGTTGACACACAGTTAAACATTGAGTTGAAAATGAAAAACGTATATATTCATTCTCTTGGCCTTTTTGCTTCAATTTCCGCTGACGTCACGATCCTAGGACCTGCTTTTCAAAATGTCGCCGAGTAAACATCGGTAACTTAAATGAGATGAAAACAATCAAAAAGGCATGATTTTTTTATTTGAACAATTTACTGCAAAGAAAAGAACATGTTTAATTGAGGTATGACTTACGAAATGAGACAGCACTTCAAATTTATTTACAAAAAGTCATGATCAAGTTAGGGTAACGACTCATGGACCTCCGAGGATATATAAATTAAATCAATTTGCATTTTTGAAATACATGTAATCTAAAAACATGGAATAAAAAAGTCATCTTGTGAAAGTAGTTTCCTTTCATTACTCAAAGCGAGTAGTCTTTCCTTCCTTATTGCACATCAAGTATCATGTGCATATAAAACTTCATACAATTTCATCAAAGTACACTTTTCAAATTTTTAATCACTTTGGATTTTTTTATTAATGAACGATTAAATATTATCAAAGAACCCTGAAAGAACAAATATTGTTGCGAGTAAAATACAGATAACACTAACGTGAACTTAATGCAAACATGCTTTTTTAAACATTTAGCATAGATAGACGTTTATTTACCAATGTTACATACACATTTAGCTCAAACATGAAATGTTACTGATCAATACTGTATGGTCTTACCATTTATGTCATAGAAATAAAATACTTCCTGACAGAAACGCATTCATCTTCTGGGCCCCTAAACGACACGTAAGTAAGACATCTTTGAGTTGAATTTATAAGCATTTACTAAATATAATATATGAACAAATTTAATAATGACATTCAATATAAGATAAAAATTGGAGCAAATGGTCTAATAAACGGCAGTTATCCATGTTAGTAAACATTAATGTCACTAAACAGTGAAAAAATTACCATTCCTGGTAAATTGTACTTTGGGCTTTTCAATTGCAACTTGATTTTTTTATCATTTTACATCTCACAAATCTTATTGTTTAATGTAAAAGAGACACTTTTCGGAAATTGATTTTTGTATTGCAAAGCTATGTCCCAAAAACTGTTAATCTCCTACAACAACATTGTGCAATTATGTGCTTTTCATGACAAAACATCAAAGTGTCTTATCAGGGAGACAATATACAGACAAACAAAAAAACATACCAATTTAAATAATAAAAAGACTGATAAGTTTTAGGGGTAAGGTACCACAATCAAAGGCCAGAATTAAAAAATAGGATACGCACATGTCATTTATAAATCGCCTATTTTTTCTATACATGAAAAGTAATTTTTTTTTTATTTTTCAAATGTTAAGCTTATCCTGAATATACATATTAAATTGGCAAAAAGAATTATACGACGAAAGAATAGTCTTGTTCTTTACTAACGACGAAGTCGTTTCTTTTATATTCTTAAACGACAGAGGTATGGATAGGACTCAAGTTACAATGATAAAAAAGATCTATGGCCTACAGTGAAAATAATGTATATCTTTTTTGTCGTCTCGATATTGTGTGCTTGTCAAATTGCTTTTACATATATACGATAAAGTAAAACTTTATCATAAAACGTTTCAGTTGGAAGATGAATATCGTTAAGACATTGTAATGGTCATGAGGATAAATTACCAATCTCTTGTTTCTTTTTCTGAGGTAAAAATACAAATAAGGGTAATAACTTCATAGCCCAAAAAAAGCTACTTGCTCAACCTAATTATGACATCCAACAAAATATATGTTCTTTGCGTTTTGGTTAGAAATACACCTGGAGAGAATGCTGAGATTTTTTTTTCATTGAATATTTTTTTACTAGATAAGACGAAAATGAAAATATAAAGAAAACCTGACGGAACTTTTTTACTTTTAAAAAAAACTTTTTTAACGGTGTTGATGTAAACTATTATCTTGATGGCTGGTGCTGAATATAGTACAATGTACGTTGAGATAACCAACAGTTTAAGAGATCAAAGGTCCATTATATATTACAAAATAAGAGCAGGGCAAACACAAACCTCTAAAACATCAGAGGTGGGATCAGGTGTCATATATTACAGTGGTTAACATCCCCTACGACCGGTCAAACCCCCTTGTGCTCCTTTACGTCAGCGTGAAAATAATAACAATCTCTATGAAAAAAAGGTAGTCAGCATTAGACTGAATGATAAATTGTATCTGTTGACAAGGTCATTGTATCGACCATAGATTTTACGAAATGATGACTTAAAACGAAATAGACTGCTTATTTTAGTTGTTTCCACAACTTTTTTTTATCAAAAGTTCAACTCATTTTTGACATTGTTCATACGATGTTCATGCTCTTCCGTATCGAATCAACTGAGAACTCCGTATGCAGGCATATTGCTTCATAAGTAAGGAGAATTAACGATTGAAAGGTACAAGTCATCACGTTTATCATAAAGCTTTGTTGTTAGATTATCATTAGCGTATTTGTTAAGTAAAACATCAAAATATGAAAGAGATGTGTCAGAGTTTGTGGTAGCTTTTATTTCAATTACTAAGCGGAATGTGTTTTGTCGAAACGAGAATGGAAATAATTATTGCTTTTTGAAAATATGTTTTTGAGATATCTAAATTTTGAGTTGAACGCTGTAGTGGGCGTTTTCCTTATTTGTGATTAAACAAAAGGCACCCCCGCAAATCAAACTCAAGTTCGCTCACAGAGTCCTTACTAATATACAATTTTTCTTTTGATCATGAGCTTTGGTTTCTAGTTCTCTGCTATGAAAACATGTTCGTGAACTACATGTTTTTCAACAATAAGTCTAATTGAAATGAATTTGTCAAATCACTAGACAAATACAATTACAATACAATGTTCTTGTATAGACATATTTTGTAGTTTGTTTTACATGACGTTTTACATGATATACTAATACCATTCCATAGGGGAAAAAAACCCAGAGCTAAGATAATTGTAAGAACATGTAATTAAATTATGATATTGATAATAAAGTTACTAGTATTCTCTTGTCATAATATTGCACAAATACTGCATGCACTGCTATTGTAATGAGCTGTCTATGTCCATTTGTTTGATGACGGCCTCTTGCCGTAAAGCCATAACAGGTTAGGAGTGTAGAACTTCGTTATAATACGATTACTTTAATGCACATTTGTCCTAATTCTTAATAGATTACAATGGCAAAGGCCCCAGGAATCAAACATACTGAGATAGTAGAACTGAGCAGATTTTCCAGCAAAGTTAGCTCAATGGTGAGTTATTTTCGCCATTTTTTAAAACAATTTTTCTTGTCGAAGATATAACAAGATACCACATCGCAAAAAGTAGTCTGAACCCCTTTTTTCATCTCTGCACACACAAAAATTAGAGTTCTTTATTTTTTTAGAATCCACACTGTATCTGCATATTGCTGAAAAATGACCTTGAAATTTCATTAATAAATCCAAAAGTTTACACAAATTATGGGAAATTGTTTGGCGCTCCACAAAATGCAATTGAGCCAGGTGAATTTGCATGCCTTGGATTTTACAGAACAAATTACCTTCTATTTGGACCAGAGGGAATTGTATCCTATGACCTGAAAGATTTAGGAACAACATTTTGCATATATTTTGACAATCCATATTTTGGTTATAACAAATTTACAATGTATTGGATGAACGAGGGAAAGAATGTGGATCAAGATCTCTGTCGAACTCTTTCGTCGGATAAAGGAATTTATTTGGTATGTGTATGGCAACATGACCTGGCATGATATGAAATCCAACACAAGCAATGCTAACGTTATCGCTTCCGGTTTCATCGGAGAAGGATGGACTGCCGGATTGCAGGTGATAGTAAAAAATACATGAACTCTGCTTACAACAAAATTGCCGGAATATTGGAACATGATGAAGTTGCTTCTAAATATGATTGTGATTACTTCTTATCTCTCATATTTTGTTCCTATTATACGCTTACCACTTGCAATTCTCTTTTACAATATTTCATCTATCTTTGCTTTGTGACAAAATTCTACACATCAAAATGAATGTTAGACAATTTTATAACAATATCATTTTTCACCTTGGCCAAAATAATGAATTTTGGCTATTTAAATTGCTTATAAACTTTGTTAAATATTCAATTAAATTTTAAACGTGTAGTTCAAAAGAATACCTTATGAAAACATTTTTTTTTCAAATTAATATTTATGTTCTGAGAAATCCCATTTCCTTGATTTGTTTATGCTGATATAGAAAATTTGATGATAAATTGCCATAAAAAAGTATTATTGTATTTTTTGCATATTGTGTATAACAACAGACTTTACGATCATGCTCCTATGAATCTTGAAACATTCATCCACGATTGGTATTGTTTACTGAACCAACAAATGTCATTATTGTTTTAGTTTTAAAAAATGTTATCAGATCCTTGAACTCATGGACATTTCTTTTTAGATTATATCTTTGAAATTTATGCTAAAACCCGTCCATTAATTGAATTAAAACATTTTAAATTGTACATAAAAGCGGTATAATTACATGTAACATATTGTCGATTTTTGTGAGAGGAGTGTTATTCCCCAAAAATTCGAAAAAAAAAAAGAGAAAAAGTAAAAGTAATTCAATTCAATAATGAATTATCAAATGAATATTGTATATTGATACAAACAGCAAATTCTCCTCTTTGTTCAATCATGGACGTCTGTTTTGATACAGCTTATTCTGTGTATTGTGTTTTTCCGTCTAAATACGCTCATTAAAATAAATATCACAAATCGTTGGCTTTAATTTTTTTTGGATTATTTCTGTGCAAATTACGATACAAGGTTGGATTACATGGGGTGTCTCAGTTCACACTTGATTTTATTCAATATATATATGTGTAGGGTGATCTCTAACTTCAGAATTCGAAGTTTTTATTTGTACAAAATTTTGTTTCATAGCAAAAAAATAGCAAAATATTATGTACTAATGTTGCATTGTAATTAACCCTTGCAAAATATGGGAAAGAGGTAATGTTTCATATCCCATCCCTCACTTATTGCATGTTTTATCAAATATCCTACGAAGGCATTTCTGTGTAAATTGTTATATTGTTCTGAAACTTGATATTTTCTAAATCAGGAACGATTTGTTGAGCTGTCAGACGGATCATAACAATACTTATGTTTATGTAATTTGATTTTTTATGTCATTAAACCATGGATAACTCTATTGCATAATTGCATCAAATGCAATTTAAATTACATGTATGTATAGTTATAAAAGATAGGTAAAGCTACATGGTTCTTTGTTGTTAAATGAATCACTGTCTTGGAAAAATTAACATTAACTTATCTGAAACTGGGATATTGTTATAAAGGGATATAAAGCAAGGTTGGATTACATGGGGTTTCTCGGTTCACACTTGATTTTATTCAATATGTGTATATGTGTAGGGTGATCTCTAACTTCAGAATTCGAAGTTTATACAAGTTTTTATTTGTACAAAATTTTGTTTCTCCTTGAAAATATTCTAAGAAACAATTATATAATTTAACCGATGTTAGTTATTAAATCTAATTCTGTTCTTTTTGAAATTGATAAAAATCAAATTGTCTACATCAAAAATTTTACCGCCTCCCTTTCAGCGGCGTCACAAAAATCCCAAAAATAATCAAATCATAATTTATTTTTCGTTGAAGAAGGAATTATTCTATTTTCATGCCGTGTCACGTGGCTCGTGGCTCGTTGCAATTAGCTATGCGTGTCGTTGTGTATGAAGGAAAATTAATTTAAAACCACAGTGTTAGTTCTAGATAATTTATTACATTTGTTCCTAACAATTCAGTGACCACGAAAGTGTTTATGTGCCTTTCATTAATTATTATTTTAATAGGTATCATAAATCTCCTTTTTTTCATTCAGATGTTCAAAATGGCTTTATTCCAATGTAAGCGTCAAGGTTTTAAAAACATATAATCCATAACAAAGCTAATACGTACCAATCATAAATATATGTATGTGATATTTCAATGTAAAAGTAGCAAAATATTATGTACTAATGTTGCATTGTAATTAACCCTTGCAAAATATGGGAAAGAGGTAATGTTTCATATCCCATCCCTCTCTTATTGCATGTTTTATCAAATATCCTACGAAGGCATTTCTGTGTAAATTGTTATATTGTTCTGAAACTTGATATTTTCTAAATCAGGAACGATTTGTTCAGCTGTCAGACGGATCATAACAATACTTATGTTTATGTAATTTGATTTTTTATGTCATTAAACCACGGGCAACGCTATTGCATAATTGCATCAAATCATTCAAATGCAATTTAAATTACATGTATGTATAGTTATAAAAGATAGGTAAAGCTACATGGTTCTTTGTTGTTAAATGAATCACTGTCTTGGAAAAATTAACATTAACTTATCTGAAACTGGGATATTGTTATAAAGGGATATAAAGCAGTATGTTTGATCACTTTTATATCAGAATTTCTGATAATTACACACTGTATGTTGCAAATGTGAATAAAAAAATGAAAATTGAAAAAATACATATATAGTTTTAAGTACAACAAATGAGGTTTCCTGATATCTTGAAAGGAGATTATCAGTTACAGTATTTATTGACAGGGTACGGGATGATACCTGGTTGGTAAATTTCATACCTGGCGAGGCGAAATAAATGTCAACGTCGTCTCCGTATAAACTAAAATTCATGGGACACATCTTTTCAGATAAAGGAGTCGACCCAACCAGAGAAAAGGTTAAAGCTATAGTAGAAGCTAGACCATGCCACCAACAAACGCATCAAAAGTCAGAAGTTTTCGGGGACTGGTTACCTATTGTGGAAAAATTCATTCCTAATCCTAGCGACATTGTTCGAACCGTTGAGAATTTTAGCAATGAATCAAAGTACTCAGAAGTACAGAGAGCCGGGCTCTTTTAAAGAGTAAAATGAATTTCTTACATGAATCACGTTTATATTCTGATGGAAAAAATTATTTTAAAACTATCAATATAAATGATAAGACACTGACAGTGTGTTTTTCCTGTGGGGCTATTTTGTCAGAATCAGAATTAATTGGTACCGCAGCTGAATGTAAACAAACAGGGAGAGTTTCCTCTCCTGCTATTACTTTGTTTTGCAAGTAAAACTGATTATCAAAAATCCTTGGAGAGACTATGTTCTTTGACTTAGGACTTAAGTTTTCAAAGTCATTACTACTAATGTTTATTTATAGGCATGAAACTTTGTTTTATATTTTTGTATGAATGCAGATTTGATTTGCTGACAGATCATAAACCTCTACAGTTCATCTACAGCACAATGTCAAATCCATGCACGCGCATTCAACGATGGGTATTGAGACTTCAGTCCTTCCAGTTCACGGTAAAGTACATTCCTGGACACAAAAATGTTGCTGAGGTACTATCTCGACTCTGTATCTATAAATCCAATACACGATCACCAAGTTAAATATCTGAGAATTTTGTAAGATTCGTAGCTCTTAACACGATACTCAGAACCTTGAAGAGAGGCATAAGCACTGATATAGGAGAGAGAGAGAGAGCATGAAGGCAAATTTGATTTGTTACACAGACCATAAAGACAGTTCATCTACAGCACAAAGTCAAATTGGACGTGCATTGTTAGGTAAAAGCTACAGTACTTCCAGTTCACAGTAAAGTACTGTGCAGTAACACAAAAGTTATCCTCAGAGGTACACGTATTGTGATTCCAACCAGCTTGAATGAAAACGTTTTAGCCGCTGCTCATGACACCAAGGAATCACTAAAACGAAACAACGACTCAGAGAGAAAGTCTGCTGGTCAAAGATTGACAGTAATTCTGAAAGCATTTGCAAGAATGTCAAGCCGTGGGAGGTCCGTCGTCACCTGAACCTTTACGCCCTAAAGTACTTCCAGATTATCCATGGCAAGCTACAGCAATCGATCAAATGGGTCGATCCTTTTCCAACAGGAGAATTGGTATTGGTGTATGTGGACTATTATGTCCGTTTTTTGAAACTTTTATTTTGAAGAGTACAGGATCAGCCAAAATTATCGAATGTCTGAAGAAAACATTTGCTCACTATGGTATTCCTGATAGTCTAAGGAGTGACATTGGAGCTAATTTTCGATCTACAGAATTTGAGAAGTTGAAGGAGTATATATGGCATCACCCATGAAACATCAACACCTTATTGGCCGCAACCTAATGGAGAGGTAAAGCGACAAAAAGACCTTATTAGAATCTATTAGGATAGCTCATGTTGAAGGGAAGGATTGTAGAAAGGAGTTACCAAAATTCCTTTCAGCCTACGGATGAACATCACACATAGTAACTGGAGTTGCGCCGAGCAAACCTTTTTTCCGATATATAGTAAAGACAAAGACTCTCAGCCTTTCAGAGAGAGAGAGAGAGGAGGAAGACATCCGAGTCAGACTGGATGAAAAGGAAGAAAGAGAAAGAATATGCAGACAGGAGTAGAAACGCAAAACACAGTCAAATACAAGTTGGAAACCAAGTGTTGGTTCAACAGCCAAAATAAAACAAACTTAACCTGCTTTTGAAACAAAACTTTACGAAGTCATCGAACGAACAGAAAACGAAGTTCTGCTGAGAGCACCACCTGGAGGTACATATCGCAGAAACGTGAAGCAAGTGAAAAATCTGGAGTTAAATGGTAATATCCAGCTTGACGACCCAGATGAAGCGACTGGTGTAGACGTTCAACAAAGTGAAGTACCAAATGATGATGCGAACGTCCTTAAGATCAATGATATGGAAGACACTAAAATCGTGACCGACCCTGGAGACTTTCTGTGTCAAAGACCCGTTCGGAAACATAAGCTACCTACTCGTTTCGTTTCATAGACTTTGTTTTGAAAAAATGTGTAAATTTTATAAACTGTGTTAAAAAAACTGTTAAATTTTGCATGTAACTCATTTCAGTGATCTTTATATTGACTTGAACTTGAAAAAAAATATCATTTTCAGTATTGACATTTTATTCAAAATAATTTAGATTATAAGTGAAAGTTTAACAAAAGGAGGAGTGTAATGATCATATGTAAGAACCATATATTTGTATTGTGTTGTTTAGAGTTATCACGCTTTATTTAACTGAGTCTGAAAACAGTCATGTGTTGTCCATGTAATGGGTCATAGAATCATTGTATAATCTCGGGAATCCACTAATCAAGGCTACTACAGTAGAGACAATACAAAAGATAAGAAGCAATTTTAATCACTCAGTTTTTATTGATATAAAATTTCAAACTTTTTGGAAAAGAGATGGAGAAAAACATTTCCTGTTCAATATGCTTGTACATGGAAAAAATATTCATAAAAATAAAATCTCGAGTATACAAGAAGAGAATATCAGAATTTAGTTATAAATTATGACATGGGATTTTGAACAACAACGTTTCTGTAAGCAAGTGGAACAAAAATATTTCTCCTTTATGTGAAAATTGTGAAATAGAAGATGATATATGGCACCTTATCCCACATCTGATGTTTTGTTCCATGTTTGCTCTGCTCCTGTTTTGTATTGTTTTATGGACTTTTGATCTTGAATACTCATCGTTATCTCTTTATGTTTCATGAAATATTTACTATTTGATTGTAAAATTCTTAAAATCATTTAGGAAAAATGAGCATTTTTCTAAAAATTGAAACTACTTGGAAATTAATAGTACTTTGATTTTTTAGTAAAAATAGTTAAAAATAGGAAAAGTAGTTAAAAAAGTGCTTTTTAATAATTTGACAGAATTATTTACATGTAGATTCACTATGTATAAATATAAGGTGAAATGTAGACTACAAAATAAAACGTTCTCTAAAAAAATTTCCTACATAGAAAGAAAGCTATATTTTATATTCAAAATGACGTCCTTACGAAATCTGGTCAGATTAGAAGAAATATCTATCATGATTCAGCTGAGTTTTTAATATCTAATACTAGTATCTGATGCGATGTTAATATTGATATCGTGAAACATGTATGTTTCTGATCTGTTTTGATTTTAATAGAAAAAATATAACAGTGCAATTCTTTAGTTACAATAATGTAATGTGCATTTGTTTTAATAGCTGTTGATAGTAAGTACTATTATACGATTAAAAAATATCTGTAAGAAATATATAGCTTTTATGCATTTTTATTATGCCATTCTTTTAAAAACGGTCATAACTGTAATGAATCTTTATTGATATAAATTAAATGAAAGGAAAAAGATCCATGTATCACAATTTTTTATATTTTCTCTGTGGTTAGGATGTTGTGCATCAGAATGAAAGATACACACAGAAAACAGAATAAAATGAGCGCAAATTAAAACAAACACATATACATAAAATACTGTAAAAAAGGGCTATTTCAAAAAGCAAGAAATGTGAGATTTTTGAAAACAATTCATTATATTGATTTAGAAAAATAGAAGAGGAATAATATTCTTAGAATATGACATACAAAGTTAATTGCACGAGACCCCTGCATCCTCATCATGGTTACAATCGTGCATACCAAACCGTGGTTTAGAACATTCTATCAGCGATGATTCTGTTCCACGACAATTAACTTCATCAAGCCAAATCTGACCACTTCCTTCACCATACTTCGCCGAACTAAATGCTGTTCCTCCACTGAAAAAAAAATATTGTCACATCTTCATTTATAACAGCTACCTGTATAAATACAAAAGTTCGAAATTGAAAACCTATTTATCTCCTTTTATCTTTTCAGTTAAGAGGACATAATATCATAAAAAAGTTACCCTTTTTTGGAAGATGAAAACATTGTACAGTTTAAGGAAAAAGCATAGTCAAATTTTAGATTAAATAGCAGTCAAATGTTTCGAAATATTTGAAACATCTACGTAGCTAGGTGGATGACCGATGATATGGCGGTTATATATACATTAATTATTTTTTTTTTCAAAGTGGTCTAAGCACCTTACCCATATATCATAGGCGATATATTCGTGATTATTCCTAAAAGTTGTTCCAATGTTTAAGCAATGATACCCTTTTCGCCTTTCTAATTACTTATTTCGTCTTTTTATATGCTCAGTATTTTAAATTGCTTTCATGCATGCACTTGTGTTTATTGTCTTGTTGAAATGAACAATTGAAAAAAAAAACAGATTTGACTGGGTTTTTGTTTCAAAATGTATAAACAATTCCATTGAAATAATATTAAACCTAAAAGTCCAAACGAAATGTAAAATTATCATAATTTTTGAAGGGGATGTTTCTATAGAAATGTATACAAATGTCAAGAGCACCATCTATGTAATTTCGAGAGATGTTTTAACGATGGAAGTTTTACTAAAGCACTATTTTATCATACTTTGCGCAGGAGTATATAGAAATGGATACAAAATTATTTTTATGTTTCCTCATGCTGCACAATCTCACCACAGCTCTGTTTTTGCTGTGATAAATTCAAATAAAATCAACACCGTTGTTGAGATGAAAAATGTCATTTATTAAAATGACGAAATAAGAAAAAATATATACAATACATGATAGGGGATCAGAACAAAAGGTAATCGCACAAATACATATTAATATACTGATCCCCTAAATTTACAGATAAACAATATTTGCAAAAAATATAAAAACATTAGGTATACAGCAAAAAGATGGCACTACAAAAATAAATATGCCAATGTGTCAAATGTAATTTGTATATCAATTTAAAACATATAAATGCAAGGTAGGAAAAGCTGGGGTGGTGGTGGGTGTGCCAAATTTTTTGCTGTTATTGATAGCGTCAACAAAGCGAGAATGACCCAGCGCTGACTGGTCAGTTACAGACAGCATCAAAACACGTGATTATAATGGACAACTCTGATTGGCTGCTTGTCTGCGAAGGGGTCTGGTTTGACCATGGAAAATTTTGGAGTTGCGTAACAAGCAGCCGAAAAAGAAAAACTGGGGAAAATTACATAACATGGAACCCGACACTTGAAAGGCCTGGGAGAATTCCAGCGAATGGAGAAAATCAAAACATTGAGTTTGAACAACAAAATAGAACATCTAATTACTTACATTTAGACAAAAGAAATAAAAAAAACAGCATTCAACACATAAATGAAATTATTTACATAATTGTTGTTTTATGTTTCCTCACAAAATTATTTTGTTTAAAATGCATTGAAATTGAAGTCATGGTTACTGTACAAGGTATTATTATTGCTTCGTAAACGGTTGGGCTGTGTAATTTTGTCCACAACAGGAACCATCTCCGTGGCCGAGACATTTATCATTTTGGTGCCAAACAAACATTGACTGAGTTATCAATATGTATTGATTTAATATCAGGAATAAGTAATCAATATATAATATGGATTAAGATATCTGTTCAAGAACTCACTTACAATATACTAGTTTACTGTGCATATGTTAATAAATCTCTGATATCAAAAATGTTCTTATGTTCAAAAGTTTGTGCGAATTTCTTATAATTGAGTACTACTGTACCTGCGACCCAGCATTCTACAAACAACTTGTGCATCATTGTTGCCCCAGCTATCGTCACAAATTGTACCCCATGATCCATCATAGTAAACTTCAACTCTCCCGTAGGTAGATCCACCATCAGCGATCCGCACCTTAACTGTAAAACAAGTTTTTTTGAATATTTTTTTCATTATTAAAGGTTTATTGTCATCCTTATTTTCTCAATTAGTATTAATTTTCTTTGCATTAATGGAAGTTTCAAAATGCGTGCATAATTATACTTATCACTGATGTTAAGTTATGATGGAATCATATCAATATTTATTGTTTCTTTGATTGAATCTTAGACTATATAAAATACAATTTTTTTTGATATATTTCACGCGTATTTGTTGAACATATAAAAAAAGTGTTCGAATTATTTTTTCCTAAATGTTTACATCTTGCTGTTTTCATTTAAATTCTTCTGTTCTATTTCCAATGTACATTGTATCTATGAAAATGAGCATTTCCATCGGCCATATCGCCAGTTGCTAAATACTTGTTAAAATCTCATTTTTCTCTGAGGGAAAGCAAAACAGTATATCCGGTACTTACTGAAAGCTTCCAAGCCATTTGACAGTAATGTCAAAGATGTACCCTGAGACCTTTGTTTTGTTTCAATGGCAGTAAGTCTTGAACTATGACCCGAAGCTGACTGTTGGATGTTTCGAAGAGATGTTCGCACATCCGACACGTCTCCCATTTAGGAATTGATACGGATACTGTGTTGCGCTACTGTCTCCGATTCCAAGAAACTTATTCTGCTCGTTATGTTTCCAATTTTCAGCAGGGTTTTATTCAAATGGCCAGTAACTTCATTGAGTACTTCTTCCTTAAATTTTGACATCTCCTTATCAACCCGAGACATTTCCTTTCGTAAAAGTTCGTTGAAAGATTTCATTGTTTGAAAGTTTTTCTCCATTTCCGATTCAATTGAAGATAACCTGTTTAATATCTCAGTTTTGAATTGAAAGAAAACTTTGAAATAACTGTCCACACGTTCATTTGTTTCTTCCGATCTGCCTTGGTATATCAACTGCTGGGAGCTGCTAGAAATTACTCCAAATATAACGAGACATAGGTATAACATCACATCCATTCTGATTATGGAAATATCAAAACCAATTATATGTGACCAATTCATAGAAAAAGATAAAATCGTGTCTATTCCATTTTTTGAAAAACAAAAATAATTTTTTTTCTTTGTATTTGTGTTCTTTCTATTTGTACTAATTAAAAACTCAGAAAAAAAATTACACCGTATGCGGCGTTTGACGCTAGAAGAGCGTGCAAAAGCAGACATGGTGGCGTCTGCAGGGGGTTCCTTTAGAAAAATCTGTAAAAAATAAAAACAATAAAAAGCTTATGGATTCTACTCATGAAAAATTGTTCCAATAGATTAACAAACATAAAAATGTTAACTATAGATAACCACGGCATTAAGTTAGCAGCATACAATAAGTTGAAAATTGTTCCACAAAACTTGGTCAACCGGAAGTGGAGTGGATTTAGTATAGACACTTAAGTATCAGATGATTACTAGGAGATATGAGAGTCAACGACCGTTACACTACTGGCTTTTAAAACCCCTGTCCGTATGAAAATCCACTGTCTTTCTCTGTATCCTACAGCATTTTCACAGTAATCTACGGTATATCTACAGTATGCTACGGTATGCTAGCTCTGTATATACAGTAAATCTCTGTATGCCACTGTATGTATCCCCAGCATGCCACAGTTACATACAGTAGGCCCCGATACGCCTACAGTATGCCACTGTATGGCTACTGTTTCCTACAGACAACTACGGTAAACCCCAGTATATGCCCCAGTACGCCCCTGTATATGTTCATTGAAGCAAAAAGAAGAAGTTTATAAACTCCCAGAGCACTGTACGGTTACCTAAGATGTGGGATTATCAATTTAGTACACAGAGTTACTTACCTAAGAAATTTTTGAACATTATTTTAAACACATAGTAGTATTTTTTTAACTTGTTAAGAGATTTATTGTGTTCTTTTATAACTCTGAAATAACTATTAAAAATTAATTAATCATTTCTTCAAAGAATATTTATCTATCAATTTTTAAAATTAATTATTCTTTGGTTTGATTTATTAGTTAATTAATTAATTTATTTATTTTGCGAACACTTATTTAATCCTTAAAATACTTTGAGTGACTTTGTAACTTTTGTGAAAAAAAAAAAAAAACTGCCGCGGTAATTCTTGTTTTAATTTTAACTTATTGATGTTCTTTTAAAAAACATTTAATCTAATTAATTGCATGTAATCTATCATTGCATAAAAACTTCTTTCTTATTTCTAAATTGAATATACAACAAAATTATCAATTTATACCCGAAAGTTGGATTTATTTTGCTAATTTTATGTAAACAATTTTACGCTAAAATGTGTTTCAAAGTCTTTTTGAAGCATATTTAAACTACTTTTAATTATTTTACTTCCGTGTTGGATATCAAAATAATCGTCTCATTATGCACAATCTTAACCCGTCAATAGCTTTTTTGATACTTTTATTTTGTTTTAATTGAAAAAATTCGGTTTTCTCACAAAGAGAAAATGTTATTTCAAACAGCCTCAGATAGGACACGGTCGCTCTCTGTCACAAAATAAACAAGGTATAGTGGTCAGTGAAAAAGACAATAGGTGTCATTACTGTGTACCCAGAGTCACTTGTAAACAATCAATGGCTTTGAAGTTATTTCATAATCGTGTTAGGGTTTTGAAAACCGATTTTTTTTTCAATCCAAACAAAGTAAAATTATGAAATTCCAATTGACAAATAAAAATTGTGCATAATATGACGATTATTTTGATATCCATCATGGACGTGAAATAACTGAAATTTGTTTTAATATGCTTAAAAAATACTTTGTAACATAGTTTAGGATAAAAATATTTATACAAAAAACCCTAAAAAATCTCATTTTCGGGGATATAAATAATTGATTATTTTGTTGTTTTGTCAATTTAAAAAATATAATTAAAAAGTTTGACATTTTTATGGTGATAAATTAATTATTTATTTTATTTATTTACCATTTATTATTTATTTTTCTAACACCAGTTTAATCCATAAAATAATTGGAATGGCTTTTTTGTTCCTTTTGGAGAAAAAAATTATACAAACACCTACACAACAAAAGTAATGCGGATTTTTAAAAAAAAAAGTTTTTAAAATCAATTCAATAATTGATTTTTAAATGGTTAGTGAATAAATAAATAAAACTGATTTAAAACACGTATTTAATCATTGTAAAAAGAACAATATATTTATCTACTTATTTTTAAAAAAAAATAATTATAATCCCGAAAGTTGGATTTATTTGGCTTATTTAATGTAAACAAGTTCCGCTTAAATGTCTCTCAAAGTCTTTTTGAAGCATATTTATGCTACTTTTAATTACACATGTATTTTACTTCAGTGTTGGATATCAAAATAATCGTCTCATTATGCACAATCTTAACCCGTCAATAGCTTTTTTGATACTTTTATTTTGTTTTAATTGAAAAAATTCGGTTCTTTCACAAAGAGAAAATGTTATTTCAAACAGCCTCAGATAGGACACGGTCGCTCTCTGTCACAAAATAAACAAGGTATAGTGGTCAGTGAAAAAGACAATAGGTGTCATTACTGTGTACCCAGAGTCACTTGTAAACAATCAATGGCTTTGAAGTTATTTCATAATCGTGTTAGGGTTTTGAAAACCGATTTTTTTTTTCAATCAAAACAAAGTAAAAATTTGAAATTCCAATTGACAAATAAAAATTGTGTATAATATGACGATTATTTTGATATCCATCATGGACGTGAAATAACTGAAATTTGTTTTAATATGCTTAAAAAAATACTTTGTAACATAGTTTAGGATAAAAATATTTATACAGAAAAACCTAAAAAATCTCATTGTCGGTGATATAAATAATTGATTATTTTGTTGTTTTGTCAATTTAAATAATATAATTTAGAAAGTTTGACATTTTTATGGTGATAAATTAATTATTTATTTTATTTATTTACCATTTATTTATTTTTCTAACACCTGTTTAATCCATAAAATAATTGGAATGGCTTTTTTGTTCCTTTTGGAAAAAAAAATTACACAAACAAACACCTACTCAACAAGAGTAATGCTGCATTTTAGAAAATTTAAGTTTTTAAAATCAATTCAATAATTGATTTTTAAATGGTTAGTGAATAAATAAATAAAACTGATTTAAAGCACGTATTTTATCATTGTAAAAAGAACAATATATTTATCTATTTATTTTTAAAATTGACGATACAAACAAATTAATTAATTATAATACTGAAAGTTGGATTTATTTCGCTTATTAAATATAAACAAAGAACTATATGCGGTATATTGCATATGTTTGCCCCCACAAAAGTCAAATTTTGAAAACTTCCTGAAATGTGCTGAATTCAATAAATTGTACGAGAAATATAAGTTAACAGAAAATATTATAGTTCCAGAGCAGTGTATTCACAATTTCTGTTTTTATGACGTCACAAACTAGTCCGATTTTATATCCTTTTTCAGAAAGAGGACAAAATGGACAAAATTTCAACAATTTAAGCTTTAGAATTTATAGAGCGCATGTGTGTTCAGGAACAATATTGACATATTTCATTGATATTATCATTCTACACATTATATCAAAATATTAATCCTGAACACACATGCGCTCGGTGACTTTTATTTAAAATATCGACGAAATATGTACATTTTTCTGCAAAATTCATAAAAAACTGAAATTTACGTCATATTTGTGACGTCATTACGTACATATGACGTCATTACTTATGAAATTATTCAGTGCTTTGAAGTCAGCATATACTCCCCTGTTTAAGGACTTAATTAAATATTACTCCATCAAAGTTTGATTTTGGGGGGCAAATGTTGGTTAATACTGCATATAGTTCTTTCCGCTAAAATGTCTCTCAAAGCCTTTTTGAAGCATATTTATACTACTTTTAATTATTTTACTTCCGTGTTGGATATCAAAATAATCGTCTCATTATGCACAATCTTAACCCGTCAATAGCTTTTTGATACTTTTATTTTGTTTTGTTTTGTTTGACAAAAAACGGTTTTCTCACAAAGAGAAAACGTTAATTCAAAGAGCCGCAGAGTGGACACGGTCGCTCTCTGCCACAAAATAAACAAGGTATAGTGGTCAGTGAAAAAGACAATAGGTGTCATTACTGTGTACCCCATGTCACTTGTAAACAATCAATGGCTTTGAAGTTATTTCATAATCGTGTTAGGGTTTTGAAAACCGATTTTTTTTTTCAATCAAAACAAAGTAAAAATTTGAAATTCCAATTGACAAATAAAAATTGTGTATAATATGACGATTATTTTGATATCCATCATGGACGTGAAATAACTGAAATTTGTTTTAATATGCTTAAAAAATACTTTGTAACATAGTTTAGGATAAAAATATTTATACAGAAAAACCTAAAAAATCTCATTGTCGGTGATATAAATAATTGATTATTTTGTTGTTTTGTCAATTTAAATAATATAATTTAAAAAGTTTGACATTTTTATGGTGATAAATTAATTATTTATTTTATTTATTTACCATTTATTATTTATTTTTCTAACACCAGTTTAATCCATAAAATAATTGGAATGGCTTTTTTGTTCCTTTTGGAGAAAAAAAATTACACAAACAAACACCTACTCAACAAGAGTAATGCTGCATTTTAGAAAATTTAAGTTTTTAAAATCAATTCAATAATTGATTTTTAAATGGTTGGTGAATAAATAAATAAAACTGATTTAAAGCACGTATTTTATCATTGTAAAAAGAACAATATATTTATTTATTTTTAAAATTGACGATACAAACAAATTAATTAATTATAATACTGAAAGTTGGATTTATTTCGCTTATTTAATATAAACAAGTTTCCGCTAAAATGTCTCTCAAAGTCTTTTTGAAGCATATTTATACTACTTTTAATTATTTTACTTCCGTGTTGGATATCAAAATAATCGTCTCATTATGCACAATCTTAACCCGTCAATAGCTTTTTGATACTTTTATTTTGTTTTGTTTT